TTGGACAGCTTGGGCCATTGGTGCTTTGCCATCGGTCCAAGCCATCCACAGAGCTCACGCCTCTAAAACACAGAGTAGAGGCGGTGACAGCTCTGGCCTCACTATGTTAGGTTACACAAAGCAGTGGGGAAGCCCGCTGCTGTGTAACCTAACTACCTGTCAAAAGCCGGATGCAGCACTGCCTGTAATTAACAATTTTCCAGATGTTCACATGCATTCCATTCAACCCAAATAATTTTCACATGTTTTTTTAGGCAGGCAAATTCAGATCTGTTTGTGCAGTAAGAAGATAATTCCCATACTCCTTACCATCTTGTCTTGAACTGTATTGTAATGTCTTCCTTGTATTGTAAAGCACTGCACAAAACTGTTGGCGCTATATAAATCCTGTATAATAATAATATCTTAACTACTGGCTGTATCTTTAAAACTGATTTTACGCAAAGCAAGCCCGTGGATGTAGATTTTCACTGAGCTGAAAAGATTTTCTCACCCATACAACAGTTATTGCAAGTCTTTGTCACATCATCTGAAAAATGGCAGCCCCTAAAAGCATGGATAATCTTTTAGGATTGGGTTATTTAACAATGGAACATAGCCTGGATTGTGCTTACTAAGGCAAGAATGCTCATGGGTGGTGTTGGTAGGTGGTCGCTCAACAGCATGCAAGATACTTAATGCTCCAGTTTAAAATGCATAAATGTTAAGAGCCTCATTTTCAAAGCATCACTGGCAAACCTCTTGCTTGCTTGCCAGCACTTTGGTGATACATTATTTTATCCAGAGTAAGAGTCTTTATACACAAGAACAACTACTGAGCTATATTCAGTCTGAGCTGACTGGAAAACATGCACTGCCACAGAGGAACAAACAAATGCCATGAAGCACCTATTTGCTGGAAACACAGCCTTCATACCGAATAAACAAATATGCTTGCCCCAAATTCATATGATATCAAACAATGCATAGAAACAATAATTTTTTAATTAACACCTATGAATAAGACTTTTTTTTTTTAAACTGATCAACTGTTTAATAGTCAAAGGAAGAAAAAGTACATGTGTTGTTATATTAACCACATTTATCAGATTTATATGGTTTTTTTATGTTGTGTACTCTTGGCCTTCATAGACTTCGTCACAGAGTATATACTGAATATAAAATGTATGTGTAATGCTTCTGCTAATCCTCTTTTTTTTTTTTTAAATCAGTGGGCCACCACCATCCTGGATATAGAAAGGTCATTCCCTGTATTTATCCGAAAAGCATTTCGTTCTGGAGAGATGGTAACAGTTGGGAAGAATTCTGATGGCACACCAGATCGACGGTGGTGTTTCAGGTAACAGAAATGTTTTACTATAGCGCAGAAGTATGTTTCATTTTATTCACCTTGATGTGTCCTTGGAGGGGCAACATTTCAGGAACCAAAAAAACAGAGTGAAGGTAAGCTCATAGCTTTACATGAACAAAAAAAGAACATCTACAGGGCACTTACATTGCATGTCCATTTCTACCTGTTGGGACAGCGACCACAAATCAACACATGGATAAAAATCCAATCCCCAATAATTTTTTAGTAGGTGGGTGTAAAATGCTGTCTTAAAGGAGTGCTAGTAACAAATTAGGATTTCTAGGCCATCCACAGGACAGATGCTTGAGTGGCATGCTCTAGCCAGCTACCATGCCCACAGAACAGTGCTAGATGAATATGTGAGCACTAGTCAAGGTGGGTTTCCTGTTAGTCTGAGTTATGAAAGCCCAAGGTAAATCTGCCACAAATATGTATTTGGTGGCTTTTGGATAGTTTAATTTTGGAAAATATTTCTGTTCCGTTTCTATGCTGAAATATTGTTTCAGGCTTCTGGTCATTGTGGGAATGATCAGAAGCCTTTAGTGACATCTGATCCTGAAGTGTTGCAGGATCAACATGTAAGGATCAGTGTTACTAAAGTTATTATTGCTGTTCCTAAGTTTAGAGCAGCTTAATAATAACCAAAAATGAATTAATTAAATTATCAAGCAGTCATAGTGAGATACATTCACAATGACTTCTTGATATAATTAAAAATAAATAAAATAAAAGTGTAAAAAAAAAAAAATTATATATACAGTAAATAATGTTTTTTAATTAACCCCTTACAATGAAAATCTGCAGTTGAGCTGCAGATTGGTTTTTTTTTTCACCATAAGGGGTTAATTTTTTTAATTTAACCCCCTCATGACGGCAATGTTCACAGTATAACGCTGTCACTAAGTGTGACACTTGGTGACATTGTATGCCAGGTGGCCACTATTAGCTTTTAGAGAGAATTTTTTTTTTACCCTTTAGTTTTAGGCTGAGAAGTACAGAAAAATGTCTGAAATCCTAGGGATGGAAGTTTTTTCGAAATAGAGGACACATAAATAAATGTATTTCAATGCATTTTTTTAGCTGTGCTATTCTAAAACATAATAATCAAAACTGGGGAAAAAGTGTTTTCTCTAAAAAAATTAAAAATAAAATTCCTTCATTTTTCTATATTTTATTCATCCTAAATGAGGTATTAGGCACACACATGTGATATAAATACATAGCCCTATCTGTCCTCTAACAAACAATATCTAATATGTGTGGGTGCACTTAGTAAGAAAGTATATTATTGCCGTGAAAGAATCACACAGCAAACATGTGCTTCAGTCATTAACAAACAGAAATCAACAGGCAGTGCCACTTAAAAAAAACAACAAACTTTCACAAGCAGGAATTGCATGTTTTTTTTTATTATATACTATATTTATTGAACTGTACTAAACAGGGCTTTTTTTTTAGTTTTCAAAATTACTTTTGAATAATAGGAAGGAAAAATAAAACACAGTGATTTGCGGACATTGCATTTATGAACTACCTTTGTTGCTGGTAAATTATGCAGCCATCCTTCTTAAAACATAACATTGTCTCCTTAATTATACAGCAATTCCCAAGCAATTTTAACAGAAAAGGCTGTTCTAGTAAATAATTTGTTTCTGATTTGAGATGGCTTGCCTGTGCGTGATTTAACCTGGCGTGGTGTGTGTGTGTGTAGAATGTACGGTTCTTAATTCCCCAATGGTACAGAAGTACTGTAATGGAAAAAGAAACGCAACTGGATTAGTTATGAAGTCATTTTTAAATCTGCATGCAAATCCTTTGTGTGCTTTAATGTACTTTTAAAATGTGTTTCTTACTTTTATACCTGACTAGCCTTTAGCTTGGCTCCTGGCAGTTTTATTGCTCCGGAACTGGAAGGGTTATTATAGATAGGTTCTAGAAGACAACACTGGTGATCATTAGCGAGGGGTGCTGTGTTGGTTCCTGCTCTAAAACCACGTTCTAATTTGCATATTAATGAAGTCTCCAGCTATACCACAAGGCACAGCATGAATTAACAGATGGTATTTAAATCTTCAAGTAAATATGAGAGACAGGCAGTGACTGGCAATTATGGCAGTATTTAATGGAATATCTGTTATTGATTCATAATTAGACCTCATTAGACCCTTGTCTATTTTTGTGTAATTTTCACTTGTGATGAAAAGGCTCTCTCGGGTTGGCAGATGGTTAAACTCATTCACTACGCTAATATTGAGGCCTGAATAACCGTTTGACACTAAAACAGTCAACTTTTAAATTAAGCAGAAACTAAAAGTGCATACTATATTTACAGGAAATGTTTTACATAGCAGCACTGCACAAATATAATGCAAAGGAAAGCATATGGGTTTTGCACATTGCTGGCAGTAAAATAGAAGGCAGTACTGGGAGTTTTGATTCGGTCAGAAGGTTTGCTGGAAGGGAAGAAAAGATGCTAGCAACAAACTGTTGAATCTTCTTGAAATAATGTTTACGTAAAAAAATGAGTAGTAAAAACAAAACACTGGGATTGATTTATTAAGGGCCTGTTCACATGAGATCAGGTCCTGATCAGGTCCTGATCAGCAGACGTGGAGCTGCTGATGCATTGCGTTTTTGGCTGCGTTTTGGCCGTTTTGCTGGAGTGGGGCTGTTAGTATGTTAGCTGCAGCGCAGTGCGTTTTTGACGCGTTTGCGTATCCGTTCCGTTTCCGGACCTGACAAAATGTGACCTGCAGTATTTTTTCTGTCGTAAGCGGAACGGACTGCGCATGTGAGAACTGGAGCCCATAAAACACATAGGGATACATTGGGATGCATTTTGAGTGCAGCAGCGTACGGAGCCGGTCAGCACACAAAACGGACGTCCTGTGAACAGGCCCTAAAACTAGAGCAAAGAAAGCTACTGGGGTTGCCCTGATTATATGAGTGTGTAACTATAGGACAAACATTAAAATGTATTCTTAGGGGTAGGAAATGATCTTTGTAAAATGTTATAGAGTTTGCCAGCTTATTTTACATTTAAATTAATAGAATTAAATATACACCCAGCGTAGAGTTTAGTATGTTTTGATTTGTTTTATTGACTTAATTCGGCATGGTGAAACATTGCTCAGTAATACCACTAATAGCCTCTGATTACAAACTGCTAAGCAGTTCGACTTTCCTTTTTAAGAAGATCAAAATCTGCAGCCTTTCTGACATGGATTTGACTCCTTACAGGGTGGATGAAGTCAACTGGTCCCACTGGAATCAGAATCTTGGCATTATTAATGAAGATCCTGGAAAGTACGATACCTATCAGTATTATGGTTTTTCCCAAACTATGCGACAGCTCCGAAGAGGTAGGCCATAGAGTGAAAAGAGTATTACGTTAACATAAGCATATTTGTGTGTGTGTGTATCATATGGAGTATAATTATGATGCATTACGATGCAAAAATAAAGTCGATTCTTTACAGTAGGACCAACATTTTTGCGAGACATAGCTCACCTTCTTTAGGATAACAAATGCATAAACAAGCTCCTACATATAACCTGTAAATACATCATCCTAAGGTGGAGGGGGAAGATTTAGGGTTATATGTGCAGGGTTAGTTTGTATATGCAGCAGAAAAGTCTGTCCTACAATAAATAATTATTATTTTTGATTATCTTTATACTAGGATACTATACCCTAGGTTATTGGTTTTGATCAAACAATGTGTGTGTGTGTGTGTGTATATATATATATATGTGTGTGTGTGTGTGTGTGTGTGTGTGTGTGTGTGTGTATATCTATCTATATATATATATATATACAGTACATACAAGATGGTCTTAAAATTTGCTACTACTGTGAAATCTGTGTGGACCTTGAAGCAATCATCCATTAAACATGCTACAGACATAAATAATTTGTCCTTTTGTCGCCAAATCTTACTGTTAACAGTCAAATATTTGATGGATCATTTAGTCCTGCGATAAAAACATGTTATTTGCCATAGAACTAATCCATCAAGTATGCTGCCAGCATAAACTAATAAACCAACGACCTTGCAGAGTGCATGAGAGGGAATTCAGCTGGTCATTTGTGTGATATACATATATAATATAACATACTATGTGTGTGTGTGTGTGTGTGTGTGTGTGTGTGTGTGTATACAGTATATATACATACACTTTATATTGAAAAACCTTATTCCTACATTTGACAGTTTAGCCAAGGAGTATAGATATAGCAAGGCCACATATTATTACAATCCCATCAGATCTGTTGGCCTTTATTGTTGTGTAGAATTGTTTTTTGTTTTTCATAAGGATGTTTGATCTTTGTAGTATTTTTGTTCTAGTGTGATACCTATTCCTGAATATTTTCTTCAATCCTTCCCCCAGACCTGCACCTGAATAACACCTCCTAGAAAGTCAGTCAGACAGCTCCCACATCTTTAAAAAAAAGAAGCCAGTAGAATGATAAACATGGGGGATTCTGCAAATAAAGTCCATCTGCATTACATGCCATGTTCTAGTTGGCTTCAGTTTTACTTTACTTTTAAATTCAATTACTAAAAGAGCCGATTCTGAAACCGCAGAGAATATATTCAGTCATAGCACTAAGATTATCTCGCACTTTTAGATTTTATGGTCTTGCACCAATTTAAATTTAAATGATTTGATTGTCCAGGAAAGCACATCGTCATCGCCCCCCTCCGTATAGTCAGGTCCTGTGCCAAAATCATGTCCTTCACTGTTGCCTGTAGTGTTTTCTTCTCTATTCTATCTGCTGGATCTTGCCCCATAGGTCGGTATCTGGACTCTGGTAGCCTTGCGGTGATGCCTCTACTGGTTCTCTGGCTTGTGGATTTGAATGGTGACAGTAGAAGTATGTCCTTCACCTTGGGGATGTACCGAATGGATGTGCCTGGTTCAGGATGGACCAAGATGTTGGCCAGCGACAGCTAGTGACGCACTTCTGGGATGCCAGATACAGCAAGGTGGCCCTGCTTCTCTTGGCCAGTCTGTAGGGGATCTTCTGGTGGGAGGAGAAGGCTGAGGGCTGCAGCAGTGATTGGGGGCATTTGTAGGTGCGCCGCTTGGCCATGCTACGAGATAGCTCTGATCTCTCTGTGCAGAAGCAATGGAGGAAGGAAAAGCTGCTCACTCTAAGGAGACACATTCTTAAAACCTGTCTCCTTCTCACTGCCCAGGTCTTCACTGCCAGAGGCGAGGTTTCGTGTGTTGTGGCGCAATAAGAGGTGCACTTTTAATTATTTTTTCTCTGTGGTGTTGCAAAGGGCATTTTTTCCTCTCCTTTTAGACTAAGGCTGTGAATACACCAGTTAAGCCTAAGCTAAAGTGTGGTACATTATGAGATTGTCTCTATCTTTCGCTCCTTCAGATTAGTTATTTTGGTCTTCGGGCCCTCCACTTCAAAATGTGCCCCTCAGCCTGGTCATTTTAAATTCAGACATTTGAGACCTCTGAGGAACCTGGAGAGAGCAAAAGCCCTCATGGACCTTATCTCTCAGTTGGCTGAGGAGCAGGTCATTCTTTAAGTTCCAGGACCAGTATTTTCGGGGGTTTATATTCCTATTTCCTTGTTCAGAAACCTTAAGGGAAGCTTAGAAAGATTCTAATTTAAAGAAACAAAACACATTTTTCCTCTACGAGAAGTTCTGTGTGATCAATTTGCTGTTGCAGGAACCTTTCTTGGTGAGGTTGGATCTGCAGAAGTACCCAAAATGTGCTATTCATACTCGAAAAGGCTTACAACAATCGCAGTTCAGGGTGCTTTCTTTTGGTCTCTCGGAAGCTCTGTAGATTTTACAAAAACCTTGGCTGAGGTAATGGCTTACTTACGCCTGAAGAGGGTATCCCTCATCCCCTATTTGACAATCTTCTAATCATTTTTTAGAACATGGAAAACTTGGAAGCAGATTTCCATTTGGCTCCCCAGGATTTCCATGCTTTAGGTTTGAGGGTAAATCTGGAGAAATCGAACTTCCTCTCAGTCTGCAATCTTTTAAGTTACAAAATAGATGCAGTGCAACAAGAGACAGGACATGATTTAACAAATTTGTTTCCTCAGTGAAAAGAATTAGCACTTTTGTGGAAGTCTCTTGAAGGCAGATTATGCACACTCTTTGTGTAATAATGGCAGCTATTCCAGGTTGTTATGTAGGCCTAGCTCCATGCCAGAGGATTGCAGATTTTTTTTTTGCTAGTAAGGCACATTCATAGTTTCATAGTTACATAGTTACATAGTATTTGAGGTTGAATAAAGACACATGTCCATCAAGTCCAACCTATTGTGTGTGTGTGTGTGTGTGTATATAGATCCCTGAGTCATCTCGTTATTAGGAGTACTTGTACCCCTGTATATTACCGTTTCTCAGGAAATCGTCCAAAAGCTTCTTGAATGATTCCACACTATTAGCTGAAATCACTACTTGTGGCAACGAGTTCCAGACCCTAACCGCTCAAACTGAGAAGAACCCCCTCCGCCCCTTGTGTTTGAATTTTTTTTCTACCAGTTTCAGGTGGTGGCCTCTAGTCTTTGTTACGGAATTAATCATAAAGAGTTTGTTGCTAATGTCGCTATGACTATAGAACATTTTGTACATGAAAATCATGTCCCCCCTTAATCTCCTTAATTCCAGCGTGAACATATTTAAATTTAGTAACCGTGTCTCATAGCTCTTGTCCTCCATCCCTTTGATGAGTTTGGTCTCCCTTCGCTGGACTTTCTCCAGTTCAAGGACATCCCCTCTGTGTACCGGTGCCCAAAACTGCACCGCATACTCCAGGTGAGGCCGAACCAGTGATGTGTAAAGTGGCAAAATTATAGACTTATCCCTGCAAAACATTCCCTTCTTGATGCAGGACAGGACTCTACTAGCTTTGCTTACCGCAACCTGGCATTGTAATCTATTATTGAGTTTATGGTCTACAGTGACCCCCAAATCTTTCTCCATTTCAGACTTCCCTAGCGGCATACCCATTATTGTATAACCCATTTGCTTGTTTTTTATCCCAAAGTGCATAACTTTGCATTTATCAACATTAAACCTCATCTGCCATAAAGTTGCCCACTCCCCTATTCTATCCAGGTCCTCTTGTAATGTAATTCGCTGGACAAAGCAATGTTCTTACTGGAAGGGGATTTTCAGGGTCTCTCTTAATGGGAGAAACCATGGAATCTCAGAGAAGGTCGTGTCTGGATGCAGAATTTCTATCGATGCCAGCGCTTGGGGATGGGGGCCCATTCAGACATGCTGCAGGCACAGAACGTGTGGGGAGCAGATTTGGTCAATCACTCTTCCAACTACAGAGAATTGCTGCCCATAGGGAAGGCCTTTGTCGCCTTCAAGGAAAGGAGATAACTGGAAGGGAAGTCTTAATTTATTTAGACAATGCTATGACTTTAGGATACATCAACAGGCAGGGTGGAACAAGGTCAGCCAGTCATCGTCTCCCTGGCATATATTAAGCAGCAAGTGAAAATTCTGTCCCTGAAGTTGATATATTGGAAGCAGAAAAAAAGGGCAAGCACAAGGATTTCAGCGACTTCGACAAGGGCCAAATTGTGGTGGCTAGACAGCTGGGTCCGGGGCAACTCCTAAACTGCAGCCCATGTGGGATGTTCCTAGTGTGCAGTAGTCAGGACCTACCGAAAGTGGTGCAAGGAAGGAAATCCAGTGAACCGGCAACAGGGTCATGGGCGGCCAAAGCTTATTGATGCACATGGGGAGAGAAGGCTTGCCTGTGTATTCCTATCAAATATAAGTGCTACTGTATATCAAATTGGCTTATCTGGGGAAGAGAGTGCATCCTGGTGCCATATGGGAATAAGGCAAGACAGCAGAGGGAGGATGCTTTGGGCAATGTTCTGCTGGAAAACCTTGTGTCCTGGCATTCATGTGGATGTTACTTTGACACATACCACCTACCTAAACATTGTTGCTCAGTTAATGGAAACAGTATTCCATGATGGCAGTGGCCACTTTCAGCAGGAGAATGCGCCCTGCCACACTGCAAAATGTTTCAAGAATGGTTTGAGGAAAGACGAGACCGCCTTGTAACTTATAGGACTTAAAGGATCTGCTACTGATGGCTTGGTGCCAGATATCACAGCAAACCTTCTGAGGTCTAGTGGAGTCCATGTCTCAATGGGTCAGGGCTGTTTTGGTGGCAAAAGGCAATACTTAATATGAGGCGGGTGGTCAGAATGTTATGGCTCATCGGTGTATGTCTGTCTTCAAGGACAAAGTTTCATTGGTGGTTTCAAAAGTGATGTGCTGGCTACCACAAACCTTTTTTTTCCATCCTATAAATTTAGAAGAATACAGAAATTTCAGATTCATAATAATATAGGATATGTATTAGATACATTGTTTAGAAATAAATATTTGTGTAGTTGAATACAAAAACAATTTACTTTAAAGACAATTTTTAAGGTATAACTTCACCCCCTTGGACTTCTCCAACATGGTGTCTGAGTTCCGTCTAATCTGGTGGGAGGTTGTGTCACTAGGAACAGTTGAGATGCGCAGAATGATGATTCAGTACCCAAGTAAGGTGGCCACACATGTTCAGTAGTACTGACGCCACTCCCATGCTTCCACAAGGCTTTCATCAATATAGCGACGAGATCCTGTGCATACAAGGAATTTTGTTGCCATATTTGTTACCTTGATGGAGTGGCTGAATGAGAGAAATTCTAAGTGTGTAACCAGTAAGCCTCTGAACTACAGAAAACCTCCCATTTGAGGCCTGGTTCACATCTAAGTGTTTTTGAGCAGTTGGAAAAGCGCTTTTAAATGCCCAACACAAGAAATCCCATGATGTTCAATGACCGAGCAAAACGCCAGCAGCAAACCTCCAAACACAGAAAAATTAGCTTTTTTTGCAGTTTCAGGCTTGCTCCCCCCCCCAGCCTTGAAAGGAAACGCCAGGAGACGCGCGGCAGAAGCATGTTACAAATTTTCCGTGCGCATTTTTACGTGTTGTCAATTGACCACAATGTTTCTTGAGCTGCCAGTCAATAAACTTCACATGCAGAAAAAATTTGCCAAATGCGCATAATTGTGCAAAAACTATGCCGCCTAGGTGCGAACCAGGCCTTATGGTGATGAGGAGAGGGGAGGTGTTCTGTATTTTAAAGGTGAAATGGGCTGATAAAATTTTTTCAATTTCAGAGCAGAAAAGGCAGATTGCATAGGACATTACAAACTCACTGGGTGTCTTTCAGAATCAATGTTTTTTTACTGCCCTTATCAAGCAGATGTAGCAAAATGCTTTCAACAGTATATTTAATATATAAATATAGACCAAAGTGGTGCAAATAAGAGAAGTTTAATGTTATTGTTCACATACAATTGCTTTTATGTCTCCATTTTCTGTCCTAATATTCTCCTATTATTCTTCTTTATTCTCTATCTCTGACACTCATTTTTCTAGAAATACGATCAAATAAGAGAAACTTACCAGTTTGTAAATAACAAGATGCTACATCATCCACACCGTGTCTTGTGTCAGAGTGTCCTAATAAAATCAAATTGTTAACGTTTTCAATCGTCGATTTTAATCGACTAAATCGATTAACTGTTGCAGCTCTAGTTCCCTTTCACCTAATGAGTGATGAAAAATTAAGTCTATTCTGGTGCCTGGCAGTTATAACCCTGACCAAATCTGAAAACTCTTATGTGAATCTAGATATCTGGCTGTGTATAACCAAAATCATAGATTGTATATTTTGCTCCCATTAAGCTAATGTTAATGTGTGTAATTTTTTGCAGATCGTTGGTCTGTTGTGGTACCTCGAGTGGTAGAACTAAACAAGGCACCTCACCATCCTGATGATGTTGTAGTTCCCCTGGAACATATCCACCATAGCAACTCCAACTACCAAAGACAAAATTACCCCCAGAACTGGAAGAAAGAGGATAGCCAAATCTAATGGGGACCCTCGAAACCCCTTCATGACCGCAGACACCTACACCATATTATAAACAAAGAGGTCTATTCATCTAAGCTGCTAACCAGTGTCTGGGACATTGCATATTTGCACAATTGATTGTTTTTATAATGGCTGAATCAGCTAACCAGGTCCTGAAAGTGAACATAAACCATGGTTTTTATGATTTTTTAAGATGTTTTTTATAAACTGTAAAAACATGTTTTCAATTTTAGACGGTTATGATGATTTCAATTAAGCCAAATTATGCTGTACAGGGCAAGACCTACTGCCTGTGCAGCCCCACAAAGGCGTCGCAAGATTCTAGAGCCCATTGCTTCCTGGAAGAAATGTTTTGGAATGTTTATATTGGCAGCTGATGTTCTAAATAGGTCTTATAAGAGCCAACTGTGATTTCTGTAGGGCCCCTCAATCCTTCTCCATTATTAATAATATTTTTTCATTATTGTTCATATATTATTATTTCAGATCTGATATATTCCACAGTCCATTTTATAGAAACTTTTGATAGCAGTCCCTGATCCAGTGGCGTTTATGATCTGAAGTTCCTCCCGCTGAAGGGTACTAGTCTATAAACATGATGGCAGTCACATGATTGTGCCGAAAACACTCTCATGAACACTGTTTGCGCAATGTGCGTTTGTACCCACTGCCAGACACCCCCAGACAAGAGATCTCAGTTCTAATAGCATTTGTTTCTATAGTAACAATCTATACCAGTCGCCCTTAAAAAGTAAGTGCCATGAGCATCGGGTGGCTTGCTCCTTCTTTCTCTCCATACTACCAACACACGTTAAGCAGAGACGCCAGAGGATGAGGCATCCTGATGCTGGTTAGATCTTGCCTGCACACATGATTGTCCTGCCTGTTGGTTGCCTTATACAAATCCCTAGGATGGAGGACAACTAACCTAGGCTGTGGGGGACACAGGGAACCTCCATGCAGAAGACATCTTTATTTCATCTTTTACGTTATGTAACCTTATGTAGTCATATCACCTGATATCCTAGATCAAGGGAAGGCCATCTCGGGGCCTGTTTAAACGTGTCTGTTTTCCTGCACTAAATTGTATATCAAGTGGAAATCCCATTTGATTCTTATGTGGCACACACATCCAATGCTCTGCGCGATTTTAGTATGTTTTTAAAATATAGGACATGCTGCTTTTTTGTGTGCATATACCTGCATTTGCCAGGGCCGTTGACATACATGGTAGTCATTTCCTATTAAAAGATTTATAGTTATAATGTCAGGGTGAAGAGGGAGTTAACTGGAGAGGGATGCATAGGAGTCGGGATGAAGTGCATCTGTCCTTTTTAATTGTTAAACATTGGGGCTTGTAAAGAGATCAGACCTGAATACTTGATTTGGGTATGTTGGTGCTGAGACAATCACAAAGTAATACCAGTGATGCTACTGGTAGGCACAGCTAGTGACAGTGAGGTAGTTGTGGCAGAAGGCACAGGGAACTAAGTTTGCTTTGCAAAGCAAAGACCATATGTGGTGCAAGAGAAATGAGCGTCAAAGTGGGCTCCAAACTTTGGACAGTGGCCATCTACAATCGGTGCCTGCCACTGGTACAGCAATGCCTTAGCAAGTATTCTATATTTTATATATTGTTTTTTTTTTAATTTTATTTGGAGTTTATTTTAAAGTTTTGAATATTTTATGTATCGAGCAACAGAGACCAAAATAAATCACAAATGAAAGCCTGATGCTCTTTGTAGTATATAGATGCTTATTTTTGCTGGAACGTAGAATTACATTTATTTGGCAATCCTTTCCTCTATCCTTTCCTCTATGTTGCTATGAATTGAATGTTGCATGACTTCCATTTTATTCAGTTATGGAAAATTAAATAGAACTGTCCTCCTAAATGTCAGAGACCTCATCTCTTCCATGCCTGGGTTTCACTAAAACCCATGTAAAAGTGCTCTGTCAGTTTTTATGGAGCTGAAACTTTCCAAACTGTAAAAAAAAAAATACCAATGTGGTGTTCATAAAAGGCGTTTCCAAATTTGATTATATAAAATCAAAGGAAGGAGCTGGGTATTACAAAATAAGATAACACTTTTTATAAATCCATCACTCTCTTATCTAGTTGGAAGTGACACGATAGACCAGATGAAAATCCCACACTGTCCTCCTTGCTGAACACATAACAATATAACTATGATAAAAATAGGAAACGGCAGCCAAATACTGTGCCCTGTATTGTTCATTCGAGTTAAAGCTGTGCTCCAGGTAGGTATAAAAGACAACAATAATGCAGCTGGGTATTCTATAATTATTCATACAATGTGTTGGTTTTTTTAAAATGCAACTAGTGTAAGTACCTGACTTTGACTTGGTATAAGCGTCTTGCAATCCTCTATACAGCATCACACAGACTGGTAGAGTGAGGAGCAGCACTGACAGCCAATTTAGGTGTGCTGCATGTAAGTATGTTGACAGACAACGTGTGTGTTGGATTAGAGGGAGCAGAGTAAGTAGAAGGATGAATTCATCTGTCTGATGGTGCCCACCGCCACAATATAACTTCAAGGAGGGCTTAGAGACATCTGACTTGTGAGCAACAGTGGAGCTTTCACCAGCACAGTAGTTCTAAACAATCAGTATTCTCATGGGCTGACTAGTACCGCCCATGTAATGGTAAAAAAAAAAAAAGAGCTTTTATACTAGAAAAAAACACCTATTTTTTTTAACACAATATGAAGCTGATCCACCTGTAGAATAAGAAGTTTGTTTTACAATGTCCACCATGGGCTCAATCTTATTTTCATCCCACTTACATGGAAATTTACTTGATAGACCATGACTTAATTGACAGTATTACAGCCATACCAGCAGATATGGACACTAAGGAGTATAAACCCATATAAAGGTTGGTGAGTAAGCGGGTAAAGTTAGCCCACATAGTAGCTATGCATCTCTGCAGATAGTAACCCCATTGAATGGAACAGAATAGCTGTGTGCAAACTAGGGATGCCCTGATAATAGTATCAGTATCGGTGCTTATACCGAGTACTTGTCCAAATGCTCTGATACACTGATACTGGAACTTCTGGTCAGAGGGAGATTCCCTCTAACTGGCAGGGCCGCGAGGGAGCATGGAGCGGACTTCCCGGCCAATCATGAAGTCAGGCGGTGGGTGGCTTTGTTTGTGGGTGGGTGTGGGTGGCTCTGTTGGCACAACAAACTTTTTAGTTACAAAATCTAAGGAACCTGGTGGAAAATTGTCAGACAACAGTGACTGCTTTTAATCAGCTGCAGTCACTGTTGATTTATTCTGACAGAGGTGGGTGCTGGCTGAGTTAAGTATCCGTCAGGTGGAGATACAATATTCCCATCCACACTGTTTAACATGGATGGGGGAATTGAGTGATTTTTCTTATTGAATCTGCTGGGATAAACAAGAGAAATCTAGTTGTGTATATACTGTATATATAGCCATCTCTTTTTACAGGCTGGCATTATTTACAAATGACCCTGAGGCGACAGGGTCACAAGTAAGCTAGACATGTAGACACTATTGTCATGAGACGGTGACAGCATTGACTGGCACATTGATAATGAAGATTGTACCTGCTCTGTTCTGAGCTTCTGGAATGGAAGGTGTTAAGCCGTCTGTGTTATGGGGAAGTAGCTTCCAGACTCCCTGTCTCATGTAATCTGCTCAGCATGATCCTGAGTGAAGTTTACAGAAGCAGTTTAAACTACTGTAGATCTGACAACTCTTTTCTCATGGCTTATATCGTTTCGTGGCTCAAGGACCAGCTGCCTATAGGCAGAACAGGTCAAACATTCAAGGGCAAAGAATACCTAGCTTGTCTTTTAACTACTTGAATCATAGTGCTACAACAGACAAGCAAAATATTTTACTTTTTATGTACATATTTCAAAGGAAGTTGTGTCAAATCCTAATAGACAAGTGATTTTTGTTTTTTTACTTTAATGAAGATATAAATTTTATTAACACTTGAGTCTTGTGTCAAGTGACATCACATCCCTTAACAAATCAGTAATTACATAACTACTGTACACAAGTGTAGATATATCACAGGAATGACATCACTACACTCTAAACATAAGTTATGATAGAAAGATAATTTTATTGAGAAAAAATAAAAGTACATTGGTAAGTTCTCTTGGTTTACATCCAGAACAGAACATTCCAGACAACAAAAATCAAAACCAATGTGGTAAAGCAGGAGTATCAAAGCATTTTAGTAGTATGCCATTCAGATAACAATAACCTGACGTTTCCTTAAATAAAGTGGCGGCAATATATAACCAAAATCAAGTATCTATGTACCCCAAGTCAGGGGTCAAAATAAGAAAAGTAAAAGTGTAGTAAACCTCGTACACATGAAAAGGAAAAAGAAGAAAAGTAAGAAGAAAAGCTAAGAGTGGAATAGCAGAGAGGAATAGGCAGGGAATAGAAAGGCCAAATGAGAAGGTTTTCCATTATCTCATGCATAATATATATAAATAGGCATACCTGAAGAGACCACCTTCAGAGAGACAAAAGTGGTAGAGCTGGTCTGGAAATAGGGGTTCATAAACTGAAAATAAAAGCAGAGTCCAGAGTCCCAAATGGATCTGAACCACTCTTCTGCATTGTGGGAGGAGGAAGTCCATACATATTTATTTAAACACATTTAAAAAAATGTCTTTACAGAGAACACAGATAACACTAAAATATTTGTAAGAATACAACAGCAAGCGTATGCAACATCAAATATCTAACTCCAACCTAGAAATTAGATTGTACATTAAGAGAAATGTTTAAACAAATGGATACAAATCCAAACCAAAGAATCAGCAGGAGCGTATGCCTGCACTTTCAACAACCAGAGAAATTTCAAATGCAGAGAGAGGCAGATCCCCTCAGGGGGTCATACCAAGGGAAAAAGAACGGGGGGAAAAAGTAAAGAGTCCCAGAAGACAGTGGGGGACTTATGGGAAGGAAAAGCCCAAAGTCCACAAATGGAGAAGAGATGAGAAAGGGTAGAAAATAACAAAATAAGAGGGAAGGGAATATAGTCTGTCCCCTATGGAAAAAGGAGGGGATCCCATTCCCCCAGATGACCCAGGCAAGCTGAAGTCCAGAAAGGCACGAATCATATTGATAACACACTATTCAACAGGGGCAATGGTTTGGGATCAGGTCAGGTTGTCTTAGCCTATAAATATTGATCAGTAGTCCTGAAGAACCGCCAGGGAGTCCATGTG